GGTACTGGGGATCGAACTTGGGACCTTGAGCTTGTGAGGCAGGTGGCAGAACCACTGAGGGAAATCCCGACCCCTTGACTGCTTTCTATATGTAAAGTCAGTGATGGTCTGTAGAGTTTCTTTTCTTAACTTTGAATCAATAGGACTTGGACTCCACTGTCTCCTCCATCGTCCTTTTAAAGGCCTTTGTAATTACCTTGGGCCCATTTAGATAATCAGGGTTATCTTCCTATCTTAAAATCCACTTGTTAGCAGTTTTAATTCATCTATATGCTTAACTCCCTTTTGCCAAGTAAGAATATATTCATAAATTCAATGGATTAGAGTGTGGAGATTTTGGGAGACAGTGTCATTATTCTACCTAAAACAACTGTTTCTGTACTCAGACCAGAAAATGCTGTGTGCATACCCTTTCCCCAGAGCCATGAGAAAGGCTGTATTATCAGTAGCTTCAATCTAGACTAGATGGTTTAGCAAAGTCATTTGTTTGGTGACTGAGAAATATGGGTAGGGCATTTGGACATATAGGTTGGGATAACCATACAAATGTATCACAGGTCTTGTATATTCTCTTACCTGGGACCACAAATTAAAAGCAAATGTGGTGTCATTACTCAAAAAACAATTTCCCCTACTTTTTACCTTAATTTATCCAAGGGATACAAATTACTCCTCCAAATAAAACTAGTTTTTCAAATTTACCTCACCAAATTCCAATGGAAAATTTGAGAACATTCTGGGGAATTTGGTGGATGAGGTAAAAATGTAGTCATGGTAAACTCTTAACTAGGGTAGGAGTTAGGAACACTCAACATCATTTGTGAATTTTATTAGCATTGCAGTTACTGAGATAGAATAAAGTAGGAGTATAGGCATCAGATAGATAGGATTGCATTCCATATATAGACTCAATCACAGATAGTGAAGAGTGCCAAAGAAAGAGGAGACAATATAAGAGGATGAACTTTGAGGAACATTAGTGTAGAAGTCCATATAATCAAGTTCCATCCCACTGCTGTTTTTTTTTCTCCAGTAATTGTGGCACTGGTGCATAACAGTGATGAGAATGAGTGCTCCCCATGGTCAGACTGCATTCTTTGACCTGAGTTATTCATTATTGCTAAATGCAGGTAGCAGCAATTCTCCCTATTGCAGCCTTGACCAAAGGATAGCCTAATAGAAAACTTTTTCTTTCATGTATTCATGCATGTGTTTGCATCAATGAATATGTATGAATATGTATACACATGTAGTATGCATGTAAGTGTACATTTAAGACAACCTCAGTTATGGTGATGGTGAGAAAACTGAACAAAAAACAAAACAAAACAACAACAAAAAACAGGAGGTTTGGGGTTTGGTTTTAGTTATGCCACTAGTCCCTTAGACTTTAATCAGACCATATCTTTGTTTTTCTATGAAACAAGATATTTTAAACTAGATGAACCTTTCTTTTTATTTCTTTGTTTTGTTTTGTTGTTTTGGTTTCTATTTCATTCAAAAACACCAAACATATACATGGGACATTTTAAGTAAGTCTGGAGATTTCCTTTCCTACAGAACTTTAATTCGTATCTCAACAGGATCAGCCTAATTTTATTAGCCAACTAAGACTGCAGCTTTAACTGCAGACAAGTTACTTTCTTTTTTTATCAGTTCTTCTAGATTCTACTTCCAGACAGAATCTCTATTCACTTATTTCTTCTTCTTTTTTTGTGCATACTGGGGATTGAACTTAGGACCTTGTGCTTGCAAGGCAGTGGCTCATTGCCACTGAGTTAAATCCAAACTCTATCAATCTATATTGATAGATTTTGTTCTATCAATAATATGTAGAAATAAAATGAACTGTCAAAAAAGCGTTTCATGGACTATTTTGACAAACAATTGCAGATTTTAGTGTCCGTGACTTTTTAAATACCCAAGTACCATATTTTTGTCATACAATAAATACTTGCCACACATTAGGTCACTTAAAAGACACAGAAATCAGTGGGGAGGGGCAGAATTGTTGAATCTGGTTATGATTTCAGTTTTTCAGTTAACAAATATATACTGAACACTTCCTAAACATTAAATATGAGGTTAATGAGATAGAAATTACTTTTCAATAGTCAAGTGGAGAGGCATACTGAATCTATCATTGTACAAAAAAAGATACATTAAGTTATTTGAAGAAAAAATTAGAGGTATTAAGAGTATTGAATGGGAGGCCTGGTTTTGAGAAAAAAGTTGTCTTAGAAACTAGCATCATGGGCTAATTCAGTCATTTTATCTTGAAGGTCCTGAATTTTTTCATATCACCAGGACTTTCTCATTCTATCATACAACAGAAAACCCAAAACAGATTTTGAAACCTTATTCATAGTTGTAACTGGTCATTGATTTTATATGCTTCCTCATGAGTTTATGAATTAGTCTGAGTTTTTTTCTCCTCATTTTATACTTTTTTATTCAGTGAATGTTTATTAAGCCAAGCATTATATGATTGAGATTCAGAAGTAGAAGTCACAGTCCTTGCTCTCAAGCAGCCATTGTCATTTTGGAGAGACAAGCACATAAGCAACTGCAGGTCAAGTAGTTGATTGTTAGTATGATGAGAGCAGTATCCATGGAGTCCTAGAGCTGCTGAGAACCGGGATGTTATAACAGGTTTTCACTGGATGTTTTCAAAGATGATTCCTTGAGGAACAAGAGCAGGCAAGTAAGTAAGATGAGAAAGTGGTTAATGTTCTGCATATCTGTAAAAAAAACATTATGGTAGAGATACCACAGATCCTTTTTTAGAGAGGAGAAGATCTCAATTCAAATGGCTATATGAATCCAGGAATTAGTCACATGCACAGGCAAAACCTGGAAGGATAAAGGGTTGTGACTGCAGACTATGAATTTTTTTTTAAAAGGGACAAAACAGCATTGCTGTTTTGGAATTACAGTGATTCGGTTTTTATTAAAAAATAGGAATATAAACCATAAAGGATGCATCAGAAGATAGTTCCATTTGGGGTCTGGTGTCTCTTGCAGGAGACCTGGTGAGAGATGCTGAGAAAATTAAGAATTAATGCCACAGAGGTAAAGAAATGAGGGGAGAGTGTCAGTAGAAATATAAAACTTGAGTCCATCAGACTCCAAGACAAAATGTGCGTTCTCTGAGAAGGAAGAAATGTCAGATCACCAGATTTCTACCTGAGGCAACTAGTGCTGAGAGTTTCACTACCCAGGTGGACATTAGGAGAGGAGAATCAGGGAGTGGATGTGTGGAAATGAATGCTGTGATTACTGAGGTCCTTATGGGACACCTATGTGGAACTATTTAGAAAGCAGCCAAATAGATGAGCCTGTAACACAGGTAAGGGCTCTTGCCAAGGAATGCCAATTTGGGGAAAGGTGGTAATAAATATTTAAAGTAAATTCTTAAACATCTTATAGATAGGAATACTCCCCTACTACAACAGCGTAATTTAAAGTCCAAACAGTATAAACGTTTAATAAATAGATCTTTAATATTTAACATATGCCAAAATGAGTGAGTAAATAGAAGTTGTTATTGGGTAGCAATGTTCCTGTCCAATTATTATAGTCTGTGTATTTGTATGTGCTTGTGTAGGTGTGTGAGTATCTGTATGTACACTTGTATGTGTTTCTGTAGTTATGCACACACTAATATAAAGATTAACAATATATTAGAAATATACATTTACATTAGTCTGCTAGGGCTGGCATAACCAAACACTCAGACTGGGTGGCTTAAACAGCAAAAAATTATTTTTTCACAGTTCTGGAAATTAAAAATCCAAGATCCAGATGCAGTGAGTTGGTTTTGGGGGAGACTCCTTCGGGTCTTACGGACTGCTATCTTCTCACCGGGCCTGCACAGGGTCTGAGGTGTCTTCCTCTTATAAGGACATCGTTCCTGTTCCATTAGCCCCCACTCCACGGTCTCACTTAACCTCTTAAAAGGCTACCTCCAAACACAGTCGCGCTGAGGATTAGGAGCGCAGATACAAATTTTCTTGTTTGTGTGTGCGTGTGTGTGGTATGTGTAGGGTACAGTTCAGGCCATGTCAGCATCAGTGCATTTGATATCCAAACAGGTTTTCACTGACAAAGGAGAGGCTGTAAGAATAAGAGATGGCTGTGTGTCACAGAAAGGTAAAGCGCAGAGCTAGGGTCTGTCATTTGTAAGGTATTCTTTTCTACTAATTTTACTGGAATGCAACTATATTCCTACAAAGAGTTTTAAAAAAATTTTTTTGGAGGAAGTCATAAGCCACTTGCAAATCGATGCACCTTTGATCAATTAGTTTTTTAAATTTTTCTATGGAAACCGCAAAGCAAAAGCCAGAAAAGGTATCCCTCAAGAATGTCATGCCATGAAAGTGAAAACTAAATAGGAGTTTACTTGTAGAAAACCAAGCTGCGTTCTTGGCATGTGCGCACTTGTAACAACCCTAACTTTCACTTACAGCTATTTTTAACGTAGGAGTTAATCTCGTTTATTTTTCGCTGGCTCTGTTTTACCTTTGTACCTTTGGCCTTCTTTTGGTTCTAGTGTCTGAGCTGCTGGTCCCTGCGACAGCTCCCAGGAGTTGGGTGGGACGTCCACGCCCGGTGGCCAGGTGACAGAGCGGGTGGGAATGTGCAGGGCTCCGGGGCGCGGAGCCTCCCGCATACCATTCCCCTCCCACTACCCTCCTGAGCTGAGAGGCGGAGAGGGCTGCAAACTTCGCTCCAATCCCAGCCTGCCCTCCCCAGGGTCCCCCTGCTGGGCGACTCTACCGCGCGGACACAGTTGGAGGAACTTTACAAAGCTCGGCGTCAGAGCCGGGAGCGAAGCGGCCCCCTCCCGCCCGGCGCCCCCTCTCCTGCCCCAGCCCGCAGGTCACGTCCCAGCCGCGAGCGCGGGCGACCAGACGAGCCCAGGGCGCGCGCTGCGTCTACGCAAACCCGGGTCGGCTCTCAGGGCTACGGCACTGACTCTGACCCGGACTGCGGCGGTGGCGGGCGCTGCTGGGAACGCGCTGCCCTCGCGGAGCCGAGCGCCCGCTCCGTCTCGCCGCGGGGCGGGCGGCTGCGTCCCGGGGCTGCTATGTGAGCGCGGACGAGGGCGCACGCGGAGGGGCTGAAGATGAAGGTGCCCGCGCATGGGCCGCTGCTGATTGCCAACCCCTCCCGAGCTCGCGCCCAGTGCGGAGCCCGAGGCGGCCGAGGACCCGCCTTCGCCGCAGTAGCAGTTGGAGCAGAGATAGAGGCAGCATCCGCGGCGGTGGCGGAGGTGTCCCTTGCGCCAGCGCGCAGAGCGGCCGCGGCGACTTGGGGGCCGCCGCTGCCCCTGCTGCCATGAGTTGTGCGGAGGTGATGTATCACCCCCAGACGTATGGAGCGCCCCAGTATCTGCCCAACCCTGTGGCAGCTGCAACCTGCCCCACAGCCTGCTATCAGCCGGCGCCCCAACCTGGCCAGCAGGTGAGTCACCGCCCGGGCAGCCTGCCGGGGGCGGGGGCGAGGGGCACCGAGAGTATCGGTCTGGGGCTCCGGCGACGCGGTGGCAGGACGGGTGGCGCGGAGGATGCTCTGGAACCTGAGGGAGCGCCCTTGAGCAGAGAGCCATCGGGTGCGAGGAGGCGAGGCTTCGGGGAGGCAGAGCAGCGGGGTGACTGGTGGGGACTCGACGAGAGGCTTTACCTGGCTGGGGGCTTCACTGAGCTCTTGCCACCCGAGCTCAGAGGCTGCTTCTCATAGACGCCCTGGCTGGCTCTTAGGATTCAGTTCTCTGAAGCTCTCCAAGGGCATCTGGCTTAGGACTGTGTGAGTAAACTTCTTTTAAACCAAATTATTTTGTTTGTTTAGAAAGGTAGAATGTTTTGGGGTTTTCTGAATTGAGTGTGAGCTGTGCCACAGAGGTAGCAGAGGCTGCCTGAAAAGTGAGCCCACGAAACGATCTTTCTGGTCTAATGAAACATGTACTACTGAGTGTTTCTAGAACTTCTCTGCAATTTTTCTCCCTGTGACTGTGATTTAGAAGACAGGAATGCCAGGGCTCTTCATTTATTTTCCAATCCAGTCAAGCACAGAGCTTGTTATAGGAAGTGTTCAATCTGCTGGCCTCCTGTTCCTCAGCCTAGAGGTTACCCTGAATTTCTGGGTGCTGGGGGTCCACCATGACAGGAGACTGAAAATATTGTCCATAAAAAGTGGCTGGGAACTAGGAGAAAATACAGTTTGTTCAGAAGAGAGGGTAGCGCTCTGGGGAACTTGGTACTAGGTGCCCTTGGCTATTATTCTCTGCACACGACAGAAAGTACACTAAGGTTTAGTTAGCATTACACTAAAAGAAATGTATTGTATTTATCTGCAAAGGCCTGAACCAAAGTAGGGTACTCTTCAGACTATGGGGATCACATTAGGGTGGGTTGATTTCATGAGACTTAAAAATACAACTAGATATAGTTAAGAAATGAAAGTCCACAGAAGTTATATCATTGTTGTTTCACTGTGGCCCTCACGTATATAGTGGTGCTCTTTGGGAAGAAATCATAACTTTTTGTTTAGAAGGGGCTGTGAAATTCATTTAATTGGCAATGATACGCAGACCAAATTCAGCTGCTAAATGGTACCAACTAAACTAAGACCAGTTGGGCCAAAAGAGGAAAGAGCCATACTTTTGTGTTATTATTTACTTATTTACTTTAATATTCAGCAGCTTCTCATTGGTTTTGAGGAGGAGGACAAGAGAACATTTTGTAACTTGTGGTCAAGGGTGACAGATAAAAGCATTCTGGCTGAGCTGTGTATTTTTTTTGGCATATACAAAATATAAGTAATGGAGAAAACCATGCAGGTTCAAGGAAGGCAAGTGAGCCAAACACACCATTGATATTATTAACACTCAGTCCAGGATGCAGAATGCTTACCTCAATCCCTGAGACTGTGGAGAGCTTCAGTTATCAGTTGGAATATGAATGAGCAGCAGATTCAAACTTTAAAAGATTGAAAAAGATTTAAAAGCAGCAGATTCAAACTTTTTGCTCTGCCTTCCCAAAGCCTTCTTAAAAAACTAATAGAGCAGAAGTAGTTACAAGTAAAATTTTTCTCTTTTTTTAGGAGTTATAAAATTCCATTAAAATATGAATCTGAGGTAATACTTTTAATAGGCCAGAAAATAAAACTCAGAAAAATGACAAATCACCAATGACAAAAGTTGATTTTCATTAACCAATTACTCCAAATAGCTTAATCTTCATTTTGCAATACCCCTGAATCTCAGCCCTCAAATTCTATTCTTTTACTAAAAATATCAATAAAATGTAGAATTAGCTTTTTGTTAAAAAAAGAAAAAGAAAACTTGAGTGGTCTATACTGATGAATCCCATAATGAGCAACTCCTACTACACTTTGAGCTTCTGTAGATATTGCTTAAGTAGATATTTGGCTGAGTCTACCATAAGAATTTAGTTGAGAGGTGTACTTGACACTTTTCATATTCCTTTTATTAAAATGGCATATTCAAGATGTTTCTGGTTTTTTTTTTAATCAAATGAAGAAACTGCCTGACAATGACTGGCTAGTAAGAGAGATTTGACAGTGGGAATGAGTGACTACTGCTCTTTTACTGTCAGGAGTTTATTTTGATGACCTATATTTTCTATTCGAGAAAAGAGTAAATTAGGAAATTCTTAGCAGGCTGACAGCATTTTTAGACTATGTGTTGCGTGGGTGAAGTGGGACTAATATTAACTTGGCCCTAATGCAGTCATCTGAGAATACATATTTTGGTTGTTTTTGGATTCCATAAGGTTTTATCATTATTATCCATGAAGATTGTTTTCTCCGTACATGGGAAGTGACCCCTAATAGCATCTTGCCTGAGGGATAAAAATAAGGGCTACAGTTCCTACTGCATTCAAAAATTGATTTGTTTAGAAAAAAAAAGAAAATGTGACAGAGTACTTAAGAAAGCTTAATGGTTATTTATGAAAAACTAGGAAAGAAAGAATTAAGGTTTTATATAGCATCTATATTCAACTATAGTAATATATGTTGGAACTGATTTTTCCCTCAAATCTGTACAACTCTGATGTTCTTGTATATTTTATTTTATTTGTACTGCTGGGGCTCGAACCCAGGATCTCATACATGCTCAATAAACACTCCAACCCTAAGTTATACTGCCAGCCTAAAACCTTTGTAAATTAGTGTATCAAAATGATCTATAATGATTAATTGTAAACATAGGCATAAGTTCCCTATATATGATGATATTACTGCACAATCTTTTTGAAATGATAACTCTTATTATTACCTTTTTTTTCCTAAACGGCTGAAATTTTAGGCTGGGCTTTGTATTGCATATATTATTTATTGTGGCTTGGTAATAGATGAATTCTTAAAACATAGTAAACTGCATAGACATAGGCTGCACTGTAGTGTGTTAGGCGTACAGTGGACTAAATGAATCAGCATAGTGTGTAAATGCCCGAAGAGTGAATTTTATTGTCTCTTACATTAACTCTAGAAATGGTGTGGCTGTGCATTCATTGTATGCTGTGCTTTAAGGAGCCAGAAATTCCTGAGCAATGTGAAGCAGCCTCTTCCATCCCTTTGTAGCCTTCATCCATCTCCCCAGGAGAGCTCTTGACCCAGTCTCTCAGTGCATGCTCTGGAGCCTGATGACACCGCACAACGTGTGCAGAAAGGAATGTTCTTGTATTCTAGCAGTGACAGTAGGAACCGGCAGAAAATTTCACAATATGTGTCAGGAAAAATTAAGGGTAATATGAAATCATAGATTCCCTTCATACCCAGTGGACTTCTCATCTTAAATACAGTCTTTTGTTTAAATCCTCCCCCATATTCATAACATTAACCTTAAGAAGATGCTTAGTGAAGGTGTGGGAATTGTAGCTTATAAATGAGATGATGAAAGCAAAGAACAATCACCAAATTTCTAATTATGTATAGCAGTTTTTAACAATAACACATCAGGCTTTGTGTGAGTTAGAACATATTTACTCTGTCCTTTCCAGGGTAACAGCTGGGTGAATCTGCATGCATGCTTTCACTTAAAAGAACTAAATTCCCTTGGGAGACAGAGCTTCAGTTATAAGTTTAAGAAGTTATTCTAACTCTTTCTCTGGACTCTGCCACTTTAGTTAAGTCATAAAACTGCTCTAAGTTTCTATTAGTCATGGAAAAACCGTCGAAAAAACACATTTCAACATTTCCTTTTACAAATGGGAAGAATGTATGTTCAGAGGGTTGAAATGCCTACCTAAGGATTTCAGAGCTGATTGGTGACAGCCAGATCTCTTGCGGTTAGCATCACAGCATCCTTCCCCCATGCCATGCAGCCTCCCAGGCCTTTTTTTCTTCTGCTATTGCACAATAGGCTTATTTTTGCCTTCAGTGCCCCAATCAACTTTTTTGATAAAGAAGACTGATATGCAATAGACTCTTTGGCCTTGGAGTTTGAGATTCTTTCCAAGGCCTTGGTAGTGTACTTTCTTAAGTTTAGGCATTCCAGAGGCTTTCTGCAAGCATTTGTATTATGCTAATATGACTGTTGCTATCCATGCCACATCCTTTATTGATGAGGCAGAATAACCACTTAGGAAATGAACATTTATTTATTTAAAATAAAATACAGGAAATAGTATTACCAGTTGGTTTTAAGTGCCTCATATTTCTTTGATATTCTAAAGTAAGTTTAGCTTCATTAAGACTGGAAAGAATACTGTTAAAACCCAAATTGTTTTAACACAGTCAAATTATTTAAGGCAGAGGATTTGATTTTCTTGCACCTATAAGCAAGGACTTAGTGGATTTATAAGAATTCACACAAAGCTTCTTGGAGAAAGAGCAGCCCCTCTAATTCTAAGGTACACAAATTTTCTCGATTGCAGAGACTTAGAAGCTTAATCTGCTCCGCAGCTTTATGTTCCCAATAATTTACCAACCAGAAAAATTCAAATGTACAGGAAAAATTAAACTTAAAAATAACTGAACTATGGGCACTGGAAGTTAGCCAGAATGAAGATTACAATAATGATGGAAAGGGCGGAATTGAAATCCATAAAATTTTGCAGCATGAGAGTATGTTCACCAAGAAGCAAATGCCATGACATGGTGATGCTAGGAATCGAAGTAGAGGCCACTTTGGTTAAATGCAAGGAAGTCCTATTTTGCCTGGAATTTGGTAAAAATCTCACATCTCACAAAATTTTTAAAACATCAGGGACATGAGGTTGTTCAGAAAGGCAACCTTGCTCTTCTGAGTAGGTCTCTTTGGATTTCTATGGAAGAGACACTGAGCTGACCCTGTTGCTCTGCTGGAAAGTTCTGGTACTTTTTTTTTTTGGTACCGGGGATCAACTTAGGACCTTGTGCTTGTGAGGCAGGCAGCAGCACCACTGAGTAATCCCTGGCCCATAAGTATTCTTGTTTCCATCTAGGCAAAGAGAATTTTC